TCGTATGGGAGACGGTGTCGATCTATGATGGGTTGGTTTGAGCTGGGTCAGGCTAGGCTATTGGGTACTGACTTGGTTTAGGATGCTTTGGACAAGGTTAAATTGATTCAGGATCGGCTTCGCACAGCAGTCTAGATAGAAGAGTTACGCCGATAGGAAAGTTCGTGATATTGCTTACATGGTCGGGGAGAAGGTACTGCTCAAGGTTTCAACCATGAAGGGTGTTATGAGGTTCGGGAAGAAGGAAGTTGAGCCCTTGGTATATTGGGCCGTTTGAGGTGCTTCAGAGGATTGGAGAGGTGGCTTGCAAGCTTGCCTTGACACCTAGTATGTCGAGAGTGCATCCAGTATTTCATGTTTCTATGCTCCGGAAGTATGTCGGCGATCCGTCTCATGTTTTGGATTTCAGCATAGTTCAATTGGATGGTGATTTGACCTATGATGTGGAGCCGGTGCTGTTTTGGGTCGGCAGGTTCGAGAGTTGGGTCAATGGACATAACTTCAGTGAAGGTGCAATGAAGATGTCAGCCAGTTGAGGAGGCTACTTGGGAGACCGACCGGGAGATGCGGAGCAGATATCCACGTCTATTTGAGGCTCCAGGTACGTTTTAGACCCATTTGAGGATGAATGTTTGTTTAAGAGGGGGAGGATGTAACGATCCGGCCGGTCGTTTTGAGAGTTGTAGCCCCGTTCCCCCATTTACTGATTATTTTATGCCTTACAGTTGTTATGTGACTTGCCGGGGTAGTTGGTTCGGGTTCGGAGAGTTTCAGACTGAGTTGAGACACTTGTCTCAAGGTTAGAAGCTTAAGTTAAAAAGGTTGACCGGATGTTGACTTGTGTGTAGATGGCTCTGGAACGGAGTTTTCATAGTTCAGTTAGCTCCGTTGGGTGATTTGGACTTATGAGCGTGTCCGGATAGTGATTTGGAGGTCCGTAGTGGAATTAGGCTTGAAATAGCAAAAGTTGGAAATTCAGAAGTTTGACCGAGAGTGGACTTTGTGGTTACCGGGATCAGATTGGGGTTCCGGGAGTTGGAGTAGGTCCGTGGTGTCATTTATGACTTGTATGCAAAATTTGGGGTCAATCGGACGTGATTTGATAGGTTTCGGCATCGAATGTAGAAGTTAGAAGTTCAAAGTTCATTAGGATTGAATCAATGCGCGATTCGTGGGTTTAGCGTTGTTTGATGTGATTTGAAGGCTCGACTAAGTTCGTCTTATGTTTTGGGACTTTTTGGTATGTTTGGGTGAGGTCTTGGGGGCCTCGGGTGAGTTTCGGATGGTTAACAGATCAATTTTTGGACTTGGAGAATTTTTGGAGTTTTCTGGTGCACAGATCTGATTTCCTTATACGCGATCGCGTGGGGAGGTCCACGATCGCGTAGGCTAATTGGAGCAGCTGTGGTGTTTTGTTCAATGCGATCGCCAGTTCTGGCATGCGATCGCGTAGGCTGGGGGAAATCAGTGTATTGCTAACGCGTGGGCTAGGCCGCGTTCGCGAAGAGGAGGTGAGGCAGCTGGGGCTCACGCGTGTTGTTCTATGCGAATGCGTGGGCCATCCGCAATCGCATAGGCCTGGGAAGCCTATGCTTCGTGTTCGCGTGTGTTTTTGTACGGTCGCATGGAGTAGTTTCTGGGGGCAGTGGAGTTTGTTCTTCGCGATCGCGAAGAGTTTCCCCCGATCGCGAAGAAGGTATATCTGGGCAAACTTAAATATTTCAAAATGAGGGTTTGAGCATATTTTCACAATTTGATTTTGGGAGCTCGGTGGGAGGCGATTCTTGGAGAGATTTTCAAGGGAGTGGTTGGGGTAACTGATTCTTACTTAGTTTTGGTTAAATTCCATGTTTATATCCTTGATATCATCATTTAATTAGTGATTTGGGTTGAAAATTAGGGGAAAATGGAAGAAAGTCCTTAGGCCGAATTTTGGGAATTTGATCGAGAATTTGATATCAGATCCGAGTAATTTTGGTATGGTTGGACTCGTGGTGGAATGAGTGTTCGGATTGTGACTTTTACCGATTCGAAGACGTGGGCCCAGGGATTGACTTTTGAGTTAACTTTTTGACTTTTGATTAAGGATTAAGTACTTTCTTATGGAATTGATTCCTTTAGCTCGTGTTGATTGTATCGTCTGATGTTCGGAAGCCGATTCGCGAGGCAAGGGCTTTCCTAGCGGAGTGATCCGAGTTGCTTGAGGTAAGTATCGTATTTAAACTCGATTGAGACACCAGTTGCTTGTGATAGCCACGTGTTTTTGGGTGCACACATGCGTGGGGATGATCCATGTGCAGGCAACGGGATTGCATATTCATGTTTGGGTTGTGCTCGGGCTCCTATAAGCCCAGAAATGACTGTTAAGCTTCGGGCTTCGATATCTAACATGTGGTAATTGTTTCTAATTGAGCCATGATGAGTCTACTTAGAGTTTTAATCCCTAAACGAACTTGATAACTACTTTTCATTGATGAAATTGCCAGATTGAGCTACGATAGCACACTTTGCACATGCCTACACTTTAACATGTTATTTACACCAGTCCAGGGTTAGGAGAATCGTATTTTATCCATTATATACCTGTATACTTGCTTGATTGCTCCTGTATGATATTCTGGACTATCGCACGTGAGTTGTCTGTGCAGATTCTATTGTTAGCACATGAGTTGTCTGTGCAACACGTGAGTTGTCCGTGCGGATCCATGTATTGCTATTATTAGCACGTGAATTTTTCGTGCAGCACGTAGTTGTCCGTGCGGATCCATGTATCGATATTATTAGCATGTGAGTTATCCGTGCAGCACGTGAGTTGTTTGTGCAGATTCTATTGTTAGCACGTGAGTTGTCCGTGCAGCACGTGAGTTATCTGTGCAGTGTGTGGAACTTGTATTTTCTTGATCATTTATCTTATTTACGTGATTCTTTCCTCTACATGCCATAATACTGTTGAGTAGGGTATTTGAGAACCAGCGCACATGCACACATAGATATTCGTGTCACGAAGCCTTATGAGCTATCCTTAAATGTTATATTGTGTTAATCAAAAAGGACAAAATTGCACCGAATTAACTAATGACCTCAACAAATTAAGCTTCTCTTACCTTGACTTGTTTATTTGCAATACTTATTGAGTTGGTTGTACTCATCCAGGCATTTTCGGACACGACGGTTGCTGATCGTGGAGTCTACCTGTTCGGAGATCGTCGAGGTAGCTGCTTGGCGTCCGCGGACCTTGATCCTCCTTTCCCTGTCTTTCAATTTTATGTATCTAGTCTTACTTTCCAAATAGTGTACTAGACCATGTTGTCATATATAGATGCTCATGTACTCGGTGACACCCAGGTTTTAGGAATTTTCCGCATTTAGTTATGACTTTTATCCAGTTATGAGGGTTATATACTTATTTAAACCCTGTTTCAGTATATTGTTCATTCAAAGTGTTGGCGAATGTTTGGAATGTCGACTTGCCTAGTACTATGATAAGCGCCATCACGACGGGTTGATTTTGGATCGTGACAATATTTTTACCGATTTGATTTGATTTTTGATTTGTTTTGATAGTTTTGTTTTTCATGAACACCCCCGGCATAAATTAAACTCTTCCATTTGTGATCTTTAACTTGAGAGAAGTTTGTGTTCGTAATAAGTATTTTAATCCTAGTCTTCTAACAACTTTTGCGAGACCTTATGAAAAGAAATTATGACAATGATGAAGTACCAACTCTTTTTCTAGTTCATCCGTTTTTATTTGTTGCTTAGTGTATTAGAAAATTTCATTAACAAATTATCTTCTACGTCATTTTGAAAAAGTACAGCTAATCAAACCGAGAAGATATTAATAGTCACTCACTGCAAGTTCTTACATCAAATTCTTATTTGGTACTAGACTTTATTATTATTATTATTATTATTATTATTATTATTATTATTATTATTATTATTAACCGCAGGCCATCTGATAATTTGCTGTAGTATTTTCCTTTTTGAATACAGTTAGAGATTAGCATATTTTTTTCTATTTTATTATATATAATGGTGTTTGATTAAATACAAAATATAATAAATTAAAAAGAACTTTAAAGTACTCTTAGAACTTACGATTTTAAATATGTCAAATATTTTTGTGACTCTAGGAATATTTTGTTAAGTATAAACCAAAATGTTTGTAAAAGTCAAAGTAGAGTGTTTAAACATACAAACACCATTTTTTTTTTTTGGAATTTAAACGCTAAAACGAAAATGGTTAATTACATTGAATATCCATGTAATATGACTCAATTCAAATACACTTCACGTATTTCAAAATCACACTTACACCTCCTATATTATAGAAATCATATACTTAGATCCCCTATGAGGTATATCCTATATAAAAACTTAATTATTACAAGATAAATTAACACTATAAATAAGAGTAATTATTTATTTACTTGTTATAAAAAATTAAAATGAGTATAAATATATTTTTTGAAATATTTATTCATGCTTTTGATTAAAAAGAGAATATTTTTTTTTGAGATATGTATCTTTTGAAACTCTTAAATAAGAAGTGAACACAAATTATTTGATAAACTATAATTTTTACGTATTTGGCAAGATATATTTATCTTTCGAAACTTTTAAATATAATGTTGTTATCCCTTTTTTAAAAAAATATTTAAGCATCTTATATAATAAAACAAATAAAAAGTAAATTTAAGATAATTTTGGAACAGAACAATAAACAAATAAACTAAAATGAATATGAAAAAAAAATACTATAATTTTAATTTAATTTTAGTAATTATATTTTAATATACTTAGTTATAGATATACCTTATAATAGGTGTATTACGTATGTGCAGAATTTTCGAAGTATATGAAATATAAGTTTTGGTTTTAAAGTAAAGGGGATATATTGATGATATTTGTATGTTTAATGTAATTAAGCCCAAAAAGGTGTCATGTAAACTAAAATAGGTGAAGTAATATTAAGGCCTAATATAATATTCCATTACATTTCACGCGTATCCGTAGCTTTTCTCGGCGAAAAATCCAACAACATCATCGTCAACAATCTAAAACATCTGACTTCCGATTCCTAGGCTACTGTCTTCACTTGATTAAATTCATCTTTTTTCTTCTCTCTTCTCTCTCTCTCATAGCTCCATAAGTGAAGGTACTTTTCTCTTAAAATCTTTCTTTGATTATTAGTTTGTTTACTCATTACTCTCTTATTTTCTCTTATTAGAAGCTTAATTTCTAAATAATCTTATGTTACCTTAAGTGGGTGTCGTTTGAATTGGTTGGTTGAGTTATATTTCAGCACTAAAGTTCTTTTTTTGTTTTTAAGTTCCAAAAATGTATTTTTATATGCACTAACAGTATAATGAATTATGATAATTGGGTATGATGAAGCACAGTCCTGTTCCTGTTGTGGAACTAGAGGAGTGTGGCATTCTGAAAATGTTTTTAAAAAAAATGATAATTGAGCTTCTTCCACTCCAACTATTAAATTCTTCTATTTAAGTTATATGTATTAACAGTATAATCATTTTATTACATCATTTAAATAGGTTACTTAACACTTATTCAAGGTTACCAATCAACCCTATTAAATATACTTACTTGCAGTTAGACCTGATTCTGATTCTGTAAAATATTCTTTACACCGTCAATACATAGAATTTAAACTCTAGAGAACCTCTAAAATTTATCTTAGTCAAACTGTTGAGTATTGGAATGAAACAGAATGATATGGACGAATCATATAGGCCACAACTGGTTTGCGATTGAAGCTAATTATTGTTGGAAAATGTGTTGCTCGGATCCTCCAAAGATGCCACCAGGTGTATGTTAGATCCTCCAAAAGTAATGCATTTTTGGAGGATCCGAAAACGGGTGCGGTGGCATCATGCCTGAGCAACATAGGTTGCAAACCCTAGCTACTTTGTTTAATTGTTCTGTAATGTTGTTATATTTAACTTCTCTATGGTTCTTTGGGTGTGACAGAACCGCTCAGATTACTCAAGCATTACAAAGGGCATATACTCGTTTGAGGTTTCCTGAAGAGCAAGGGTGCCCAACTGCTTTGCTTCATCTGTTTGCTGAAGGTCTTCTTTCGGCTTCTTTCACATATTCCCATATTTCGATTGCTACAAGTTTTGCTTCCATAACCACGCGCGATCATGACACTAGGGGACTGCCAATGATTATAGAAAAGGTTTTCGAGCTATTGAAGTAGATTGAAAACAGTATCATGGGTGCATTTTGTTGCTGTTTGCGAGATGAATGTGAAGATTTGGCCAATCCCAACAGCTCAATGTATAGGAACTGCTTATGCCTTCGATCTTTTGTTCAGAACTTCTTCCATGTGGTATGCTTTTCTACACAATTTTGTTGGATAATCTCCTTTTTTTGTTCTCTTTGCCAACGTCTCCCTGCTACTTACTGATTATCATTCAATGGTAACTTTTCTAGTATTTCTATATCCAAAATTGAGAATACTCTTCCTTGAATTGTTATCTAGTTACTTCAAACTTAATTTTTGTCATCTGCTCCGATATTTGGGCAAAAGCTTGATCATGTTTTGAGCAGCTTTTGATTTGTTGAACTGTGAACATCAGTGGTTGTGGCTGAAGCTGATATTTAGGTGCTTTGATAGTAGACTCAGAACTCATTTACTTTCCTTGAATTTTTGTTAATAAAAACCAGCATATTACAACTCAAAAACTAGGTAGGTTTGTGGTAGCTTGATATATAGCTGCTGCAGTTTTGGTGTTTTTTGCTGGAAAAGGACAGATTTAGGTTCCTCTTGCGTGAAATTACTTGAGTCTGTCTTTGTGTCTGCTAAAAGAATTGAAATGAGAAGAGCAATGGTTTAAGCCTGTTGAAATAGAACGCCAATTCTTACAGACAATACCTTTTCTAGAAATAAGATTTTACTGCAAGGAGAGATTTCAAACATCTGGGCAGCCTAGTACGCGAGGCTCCGTTGCATTGCAAAAGGAGGTTAATTTGGCCTTCACGTTACCTCGAAACACCTTTACTATCTCACCTAGACTGACCATCAGAAGCTCCTGCACACGGCACATGAACAATTATATATTGCTGTATATTTTTGCTTTTTAATAGATGGACCCATCTGCACAATTCTTCATATAAAATCTTGTAGTTTAATCATTAGCTGTTTGAAACCAAGGCTTTTGCTGAATAGGTTGCTGACATAATGATTCCCCTTCATTTGCTATTATTTAGAGCATTCCTTCTTTTAAATCCTGCAGTATGCATCATTGTTTCATAGAGGAGAACAAAATGTCATTCCTTCACTGACTCAAGGTACAGCATCTCTTGATAACTCACTATCTGATATGTACCGCTCTCCTCCAAGACCATTGCCTTATGATGCCGATCCAATATACTTCCGCTTGCAACGAGATGGACTATTCTCAAGGCGGGAGAAAGGGTCAGGTCACTCGCATGACGAAACTGAACCACTACGAAGAAGTGATAGTGATGATGATTCTGAATATTTGAGTGGGCGAAGTAAATGGAATGAGTCTAAATGTGAAGAAGGATCGAAAGAAGACAATTGCAAATCTTCGGTGAAGATGTCAACAACCAAAACGACCACTGGATTTGCTAACATCTATTCTTCAGAAGATGAAGATGTCTGCCCAACATGTCTTGAAGGTAGATCAGTTGTACGAGTTTTCTATTATACCTCATTGAACTTCCTTACAAAGTATTATATGCATGCTCTCTGCCTAGAGTCTTGTGAAATTTCTTTGGATAGACTTTATTCCTTGCTGATGGACAATTGAAACTGAAATCAGTAGTCACTGCCATACTTTTGCCTGTCTAAAATCAAGGACTTGATGCAATTTGTTCTTAGGCTTGTGAAAAAATAAAAGTGCTTAACAGACGAGAGCAGTGTTGAGAGTAAACCGTTTTTAATGCAGTACATTTTTCCTTCTTCCTGGGTTTCATTGTCACGGTTCTGGAAACTGTCTAGCAAAGTTCAGGAATCTCTTGAATTTCAACTTTCATGACCTTGATGAGCCTCTCTCTTTCAGAATATACAGAAGACGACCCAAAAATAATGACAAAATGCTCTCACCATTTCCACCTGGCGTGCATATATGAGTGGATGGAGAGAAGTGACAGCTGTCCAATTTGTGGAAAGGTAAATGTGATCCTTTACAAAATAATGGCCACTGTGTACTGTTTCTGATTACTGCTTATCTATCACTTGCTTGAACTTATGCTGCAGTCGAGCTTGTCCTTTACACGCTACCCTGCGAGAAGCAATCCCCAACTCTGTTGAGGGAAAATCTTCATGATTTATTTTTCTTTCCTCACCTCCTTGTCTTAATATGATCAAGTGCTTCCTATATTTGGTAAAATGACTAGTTTAAACATTTTAAAAGAACGAGATAATATTATTATTTGGTTTTATCTTTCTTTTCTCGGATACAACCTCTCTACCCTTCCAGGTTAGGGGTAAGGCTGCGTACATCTTACCCTCCCCAGACCCCACTTGTGGGAAATCACTGGTTTTTTGTTATTGTTGGTTTTATCTTTATTTTTGGTAAAAGAAGTGAGAACTAGAAAAGGGGACACGAGGAGGATCTGTGAGGAACTGCCTGCTCCACTTGGGTTTACCATTCTATTTCCATAGACCACTAATTCTTTTTACTAGCTATTATGTTGTATGGTCAAAGATTCTTATTTGGTGCGTAAATAGGCAAAGAGCCTGAGCCGTCATTCTTCAGATTTTATTCTTAACTCTTTTCGAGTAACTGATAATCCATGGGACAGCTGCTTATCAGAGACATGTATGGATATTAGTGCTAGTCCAATCATTGTAGTTTGTTTTCATGTAATATCTGGACACTTATTCGTATGGGATACTAATTATAATGGAATTACCCTAATACCTTTTTATTTCTATGTGCTGACTGCTGAGTGAAACCACTTTTCCGTAATCATCCAATTCTATAGTACCTTTTATCTTCCTTCTGTCTAGCTGAAATTTGGCAATTCTTCCCCATCCCGTTCTCCTTCTTTCCACTATTTTTCGTCCCTTTTTCCCCTTATGGTAGGTTGGCTGGTATTCCAAATATTGTGGACTTCCAGTTAATTTTCAAACTATGTTAGTTTAGAGTTAAATTTGTAGTTTCGTTGTGGAGGGTTTTTGCATATGAATCATAGTTCAAGGGTTGCTTGTAATTTACCTAGAAAAGGATGCTAGAAACGAGACGCTGGATCATCAAACTGGCAACCACTTGCATTTAAAAGTGTCTTTGTGCGGTTAATAAAGGAATCTTAACGTCTGTCTTTGGGTGCTACTCCTTCTATACCATGGTCCAAAATAGCTATGACCCCCCCCTCCCCCCCCTAAAGAGGGGGGGGGGGGGAGGGAATTGTCATAGAAGCTCAAAAATTGCAACAGCAGTCCGCAAGCAGGCTGTTGTGTGCAATTCAAATGCCCTACCATTTAAGATAGTCGTGTGTGTATACCTGGGAAGGAGTAAATGGCAATCACTAGGTAAGACATGTCTTTTAGGAAAACAGAGCTGGGCTTGAAATGGTCGAATGACAACAGATATGGATAAGGGTTAGTGTAGGATACCAGAATGTTGAGTGAGAGCTTGAACAAGTATGAGGATGCATATTGTTGAACACCATATAATGCCCGAATATTGAGGAGGGAATTGCATGCACCTTTTTTTTAAAAATTTAAACTTGTCATGTCTTAAGAAGTACGTCATAGAAAGTAGGTTAACTGCTCAATTGGTCTTTGAATACGGGCTACTATGGTGCCAGACTTTACTGGCTTTCTCTTCAGTCAATCACTTCACCACCCCTTGAAACCAATATCACCAAACCATCTTTGTTGAGCTGCGCAGATATATGATATCAGAAGTTACAGCTACCGATGTCACTTTCTAGTGGTAAGGTAGTGGTCAAGGTTCTTATTTGGTAAGTCAAATGCTTATAGGCCAGCTGTGTTACTATATGGCTGAATCACAGGATTACATGATCTGTTTAGTTGTCTTCTAGGTTCTGCAGGCTTTGGACGCCAGAACTTTCCAAAAATTCACTTAAATTAGTTGGTTTTCTGTTAGTCTCCGATGCCCCATTTCTCTTTAAGTAGGCAATAAAGAGAAGAAGATTACCAAAAACACAGGGGATGAATCTTTTGTTTTTCAGTAACTGGTTACATATTTACAGGTTTGGAATTAGTTTTTCACAGTTTATCAAGAAAACTTTGAACAAGTAGATATGCATACAATCTATACATGTATAATATGCTGTTTATGCAGAACAATATACTGACCTCTTTTTGGTTTCTAGGAGATGGAATTCGATGACACGGGGTGATCTTTTCTCAAAAATTACAGTCTTGGATCAAATTAACCAGCAAGAGATAATGTAAAATCATTGTGAATACTGTCCAGCTAAATGCCTTTCCCTATAAAATAAATATGAAATTACTTTTCAATACAACCCTGTCTAAAATGCACGAGCTTCATATTGCTCTGGTTTCTATTTAAATTTTTGTACTTCCACTTGGATGGATTTTCCAGATACAATTCTCACTTATGCACCGAAAACCACAAGTTTAAAGCTCTTTACCTTGTCTTGTATCATTTAGAGTCTATTTGGAAAGCCATGTGTAATTAATTAACTGACGATGTAGTTACTAGGTTAGTAATTGTACACCTTGGTAATTACTAATTACACAGTATAGTATTATAATGACCTGTTTGTTTGCCACAAAGTAATTAAAGATATGGTGAATGTTTCCCTCATTGTGTAGCCCAAATTTGTCTTATCATGTATAGATTTTGCCTTGTTTCCTCTCTAACCCAAAAAAAGGGTTAAAGAACAAAAATGAAATTTTCAAAAACTTTAATCCAACTTTGATTTTGTATCATCAACTTCCCTTATAGTAAAATATTGGAATTTTTACCTCCTAGAGCAAAGGATAACACCTTATTTATTTTAAATAAATACCATTTAAAAAAATTATATTCTATAGATACCTTTTAAGGTTTATAGCAAAGTATTTAATTTTGGTTACTTCCTAGCCCTAAGCCACTAAATCACGCTAATCAGTTACAATATTTTCTTTCTCTTTCTACTTTGATACATCCCATTCTCTTCCCCCATCCCATTAAAATTTCCGATTCTCTTCCTCTTCACTGTCTAGTTTGCTTGCGATTTTCTCCTCCATCGATATCCTCCATTGTAACAGTGCTTAAAGAGGAAGATTCTTTTTTTTTTATGTACATCACGGAATGTTTGATGTCTGACATTAAAAATCTACTTACAATTAGGGGTAAACTTGATTCTTTATCAACTTAATGTCAATTCTGGCCGCCTACGTCAAAGCGGAAATAGAAATCAAAAGAGAAAAAATCCATTTCAAGAGGAAAGTAATGGAAAGCTGAATTAGTAGAAGTCACCCAGCCACTGTTGTCCACATTAGAGCAAATAGGCCTGTCCTGAATGGCTGTTGACACCATGATCAATTAGTCGTATGTCTTATTCTACCATTAAAATTCCGAGCACAATGCTCTAACGCTCTGCATTGAAATTAGGGTTTGTTCTTGAACAAAGACGACGGAGTTTGGGGCTGAGCAACTTGATTTTCTGTTAATATATTTCAATGTATTTTCATGTATTTCATTGTATTCCTTGCCTTTTTTTTTCATTGTAATTCAATGTATTTCGTTGTATTCCATGTATTTCATTGTATTCACTGTCTTTTTTCCCCCATTGTATTTCAATGTATCCCGTTGTATTCTATGTATTTCATTGTATTCACTGTCTCGCTATATGCCATGAATGTATTCATATGTTTTTTTAATTAATATAATTTATGTATTCAGATGTATTATATAATTTCTCTGAAGATTGCTATGTTTTTGGTGTATTTTTCGGTTGAGAATCTTTTTTATAACTGAAAATACAAAATTTATGTGTTATAATTGAGTTTGTTGAGTTATATTAGGAGTCTATTATGTTAATTGATTCACTTTCCATTTTAAAAACAGTGTAATCCCCTATTTCACGCCGTGAATAATACAATAATCTGTCCAGTTGTAATCCCACGTTTCACTCCATGAATACAGTCGAATACACTCGAATACAACAACTGATTAGCTGGACTTCCCTGATTCACGCCTATTTTTGCTACTGTATTCATGAATACAATAGCTTAAATACATCAAATACATCTTACAAGCACAGAAAAGGTATCTATAATCCGTAATATAGCAAATGGTATCTATAGATGACTAATTACTACTAAAAGATAGTGTTTTATGAAAATTTCCCTAAAATATTTACACACACCTTTCTTATTTTGATTCGTTTGTTTAAATGTTGATTAAATAATAAATTTTTTATAATGTTGGAAATATGTCATTTTTGTGGCATTAATTATTGCATATAAAGTTTTGTAACTAACTACTCTTTTGAAAGAGTTTGAAAAAGAAAAACTCAATGCTCATATTTGATTAGAGTTTAAACACGAGAATGGAGTTGTATCTTCATAATTACAATTTCATTCCTCACTAACAAAAGTTTAGACTGATAAAACCTACATAAGAGAAGACTGATAAAATATGTTTAAATGTTGGGAAGAGATTAAGCCATTGTTAGTACAATAAACATCAAAGTTTTCTCATATGTTGCTCCGATATGTAAATCTCCATAAGTTATTCGCTCACCCTCAATATCTCTAATTCCATTAGGATTGTCTTTATTATATTTTACTTATACACGCCAAATTAATACTCCATCCGTTTTATTTTTATGGTATAGTTTCACTGACAACAAGGTAAAGAAAGAGGTGAACACTTTTGAAACTTATGATCTCAAATATGTCGTAACGTTTGTGTGGTTTTAAATATTTTGAGACTTATAATCTTGAACATGCCATAATATTTATGTTTTTCCTTCTATTTCCTCTCTCGTGCGTATGAGTCGATTATTGTCTTTAATTATAGATCTCGGGTTCGAGCACTACAAATGAAAAAAAATCATGATAGACAACGCTTATGCTTTCTCTTTTAATGGGTCTTACACGACGTAAATCCAGATTAATCGCTATCCAAAAGGATATCAAATCGTAGGTGAAAAACTCGAAAAAGAAAAAGAATTCTGCTTTCCAAATAGCGGGTTGAATAGGTTAGAAGTTCATTTGAATTGACTATAAGCAACGCTAAATTTGGTAGTTATTATCTTGATAAGGAAGGTAACTATCATATAACGCACTTTTTTCCTCTGCTATAATGAATTACTTGCTAAGTGGGAGGTTGAACTTCAATTATGTATAAACAGTTAAAAGTGAGCGCTTTCTCCCGAATAGGGCCCTACGCGAATCTGGATATAGTCGGGCTTCCATGCGAGTACCAGATATTGGATGGAAAACCAAAAAAAAAAAAAAGTTAAATAATCGAAAGTACAACTCATTGCACTACCTTTTGTTAAAATGGGTTTATATTTATAATTGGAGTTTTTACATTCCTATGCCATATAGGAAACTATATTACCCTCAATGTTTAAGGTTTGATATAATTACATTTAGTATACCTAATTACCAATTCTATACCATAAGATGTTTTAACTGTACATTAATTGTACCTTATATCACTCCTTAATTTATGGTACCGTATATTCCTCCATATCCCCCCCCCCCTCCACGTTTCTCTCTCCTAAACCCACACCCTCACCCACGTATCACAACACACCCACGATTCAAACCATTATTCCCTCTGCTAAAACCAGAAAAACAAAGGTAACCCTCTACCATTAACGTCCAAAATCAAGGTTTTTCTTCTACAAAACAGTCAAAATTGAAGTCAAATCTTCAAAGTTCATACACACATTTACCTTCAGCTTCAATTTTTCTCAATGAAGAAGAACAAAGCTTCAAAGCACAACCCTAAAAAAGCTCTAGAAGCTGATATACCTTCTTTCGATTTGGGTGTATTATCACCACATTCACCCAAAAAGCAAGGGAAATCTGCACATGCAATTGTAGATATGAAGCATAATGTTTCTCCGCATCAAATCAGGGCTGAAGCTAGAACTAAACAAAAACATGATTTCGATGCTGGAGAATCTTCGAGGCCAATCAAACAAACGGATAGGAAACGTAAAGAGATAGTGTTCGATGATGATTTTGTAGAAGATGTGCCTATTAGTAAACCTGGAAAGAAAGCTAAGGTGGCTCCCAGTTCAAAAACTCCCAAAAAGAAGAAAAATTCAAAAAAAGCCCCTAGCGTTAAATCTCCTAAAAATGTTCGAAAACACTCATTGGTGAAGGTAAGAATTTAGTAATTTCTTCACTACTTATTTCGCCTGTTTTAGTTGTTAAAAATCTACATAATCTGTATTTCTTTTGCTTTGTAGATTTTTGTAGAAATGTTGTATATAAACTGCAAATGTATCTATATTTTTAATCAATGAATTAATGTGAGATTATTTGTCTTAATTTTGAAGATTAATTGTAGATTTGTTGATCTGTTTAACATTGTTGTTATATTGTATATTTTTTGAAGTTATTTTGTAGATAAAATACAAATGTATCAGTGCTTTTTAATTACTGTATTAATGTTAGATTACATTTGTTGAATTTTGCAGAATGGACATTTTTTTGCATCCCATAATGTTGATTATGGGGTGCTTAGATTCCATACATTATGTGACCCTAGCATTCCTAGCCAAATTAAAGCGCTTTTGTCTCCAAATGGTTTGAAGCTGTTCAAGAAGACATGCTTTGGTTATTTACTGTCATTTTCCAATTTATGCATGCAGAATCAAGCTATTCATCTTCTTATGAAATATGAATCGAAATCATCCGATGCTTCCTATTTTCAGCTGAGTTAAAAGGCGAGAGGTTAAATTTTGGATTGAGAGAGTTTGCAGTAATAACTGGTCTTAGATGTCATACTGAGGTGACAGACTTTGGTTACACTCCTAATTATGACAGTAAGATAATGAGCAGTTACTTTCCAAACAAGGTAAAAGTGGAGAAGACATACCTAAAACAGATAGTAACCAACAAAAGCTGGGTCAATGATGAGGATGCAGTAAAGTTATGTATTCTATATCTCATAGAATTCTTCTTTTGTCCTTCAGAGAGAGACCATATTGGGTTGGTAGATCATTTTAGGTTTTATTTGGTGGAATCCGGTAATACGAGTCATTTTCACGGGGTATTCAGTCTTACAGACAGTTGATTGAATCAATTAGGCACATGCTAAATCCTTTCGTTCATTCTTATCTCATGCGAGGATTCCCCCTAGCCATGCAAGTATGGTTGTATGAGTGTTTCTCCTCCGTCAACATTGATATAGCTACAAAGATTTCTAATTCAATCCCTCGCATACTAAACTGGTCAGCTACTAAGGGTCAGATTTGGTTAGCTGTAATTGAAGACAAAATGATCAAGCCTGAATGGATGAAGGTAAATAGTCTTTATTTATGATAATACAATTTAACTACAAAATATCTACAATTTATATACATACTCTGCATTAAACAAGCTAAATTTTTTTCATCATTCAGTTCACCAACATAAATGAATCACCTGAAGAGCTTTCAGTGATGTCTTTGCCTGATAAAGTTGCGTACACAATTGAAGAGGTTGAACATGTTTCTGAGAATCCAAACGTTGATGCTCCTCCATTGGAACCCAAAGAATCAATTGGAAAAGAGGAAAAAGAGTCTATTCTTCATAAAATAAGAAAGTTAAAAAGAGGTGTTGAGAAGGTAACATGTAGTCCTAAAAAGCATT